TAGACAGATAAAGCTTTATTTTGGGGGTATTTATTCACCACTGGGATTTTTTATTTTTTTTGCTATGTAAATGAAAAAGTCCAAAAATTAAAAAAAAAAAAAGTGTTTTTCTTATAAAATTTTGCAAATAAATAGTATTTCATCATAAATCTTGGCCAAAATGTATTCCGTTTTATCTTTTTAGTAAAACAAAAAAATAACCCAAATTAGTTTTATAACCAAAAATTATAATTTTTAAACTTTTTTTTTACATTTTTACATTTTTTTTTTTTTTTTTTTTTAACATACTGTACTACTTGTGGGGGGTGAAGATTTTTTTTTTTTTTTCACACTGATTGCTTTTACACCCATAAAGGCTGTAAAAGCAATCATTTCTCCTTCTCTCTAGTTGCATTCTTGCAGCCATTGAGAACTACTGTGTGAGCTGTGATTGGTCACAGCTTGTCACATGGTACACGGCTGTTGTGACTAGCTTTGTACCATGTGACCTCTGTGATCATTCACAGATTTCACACCTAGTACGCAATGATGTCAGAAGTGACATCTTGCTTACTGCTCTGCATGTGATCACTGATTGGCCAATCAGTAATCACATGATCGGGACCTCACATAGAGGTCCCGTCCGACGATCGGTATTCCGCTGTCTCCGGAGGACACAGCGGGCGCCGGATCGCGGTGCTGCGCGCACAAGCAGGGTGCGGGGAGGCCGTTTATAAATGGCCACCCGACCTTGCACTGCCTCCGTCCGGCCATTTATATACATGGGCCGGACGGGAGGTTAAGCAACAGACAGCATGTATTCATGAAAGACAGAAGTTGTCAAACCTCAAACTCAAGAGTTTGTTCTGGCCAGCTCAGTTGATTGCTTTAAAAAAGACCTGGATCCTTTCCTAGATACACGTACTATAACTGGATGCTAACATTTATGGGTAAAGTTGACCCAGGGAATATCCGATTGTCTCTCGGGGGATCAGGAAGGAATTTTTTCCCCTGCAGGAGCAAATTGGATCTTGCTTTGCTTGGGTTTTTTGCCTTCCTCTGGATCAACTGTAGGTATAGGATTATACTTTTTTTTTTTTTTTTTTTTTTTTACTTACTAGATGGACTTCTGTCTTTTTTTCAGATGGACTATGTAACTATACATGCTCAGACCTGACCTTTTTTATATTAATATATTTGAAAAAATGTTGGGTTTGTCCTGCTATCTTTTGCAATCTGCTTGTTTTGAATTTTTGCAATCCCGATTTCCTTTTTACATATTCTGTTATATTCCTTGTAACAAATAAATGATAGTGTTCCTTTTATTTTTATATTTTTTAAAAGCTTTTTTCTTATTACTTATAGCTTTTTAACTTTGGCTGTGAGTCACATAGGTTTTATTTTTAGCTTTTTAAACTTATTGCCCATTGGAATATATTTTGCAGTATGAAGAATTCCTATTTCTGATCTGTGTTCATCAATGCCAATATTCCCTCCCAGTCTAAGTCTTGGAGAGCAGCCCTTATCCTTGGAAAATTTGCTCTCTTAAAGTTGAGTGTTTATATCTTTCCAGCATGTGCTTGCTGTTCACAAATCATGTTATGGGCACTACTACCAAGATGTTCGTTTTTGGGTTTTTTTTTTGAACATTAGTAATAAGCTCTGCATGGTTTGAGATTACAAGGTCCAGCAGAGCATCATTGCTAGTCAAGGCCTCTAAGAACTGTACCATAAAATTGTATTCTAATAGGTTATAAATTTGCCCTCTAACTGTTCCTGTAGTGCTATTACTCCAGTCAATTTCCAGTTAGTTAAAATCCCCCATTATCACTGTGCTAGCCTTTGCAGCCCTGTCTATCTGTGCGAAGAACTGAGTTTGCACCTTTTCCTGTAAAGAGCCCTCCGTAGTAAAAGATGAGTAAGATAAGGTTAGGCTTAAGACCTAAGGCCTTCTTGCTTCCATGGTGGTTTCTTCCTTCCACTTTAACCAGGACATTGTGCTTCCCTCTCTCCTTGCTCTCGCATCCTGATCCCAAGCAGGCATAAGTACTATCCTGAAAATGATCTTGTTAGTATCCCTAGCGCCCTCCAGGAGGCTGAGTGAGATTCAGGCTTTGTCCGTTACAGCCCTTTTTTTCTCTGTATTTAATCAACAGAATTACTCCAGGAGGTGACCTGGGGTTTCTTCCTAAAGTAACTGTTCCAATTCAAATCACCTAAACGTTGTTATGCCATCCTTCTGTGATAAGCCATCAAATAAAAATGAGGCAGTCAACTACTGCCTGGATGTGAGAAGGGCTTTACTAGCTTACCAGGAAACAACTAAAGATTGGAGAAGGTTAAACAACTTTTTTGTATTAGATGCAGGTGCAAAAAGAGGGCGCAGAGCATCCAACAGCTGCATCGCAAGGTGGATAAGGTATGCAATTAAAGAGGCATATACTTTACTAAAGGGTCCTGTTCACACTTGAGCGTTATGAAGCTTGAAGCTCAAAAACACTCAATAGGCAAAAAACTATCAGTGGAAACACTTGAAAAGCAAGACATGAGCATTTTTTTAGCGTCTTTTCAAGCGTTTTGTCACACGTTTTCTGCTCAAACCGCAGCTCTCCTGCTCTTTTTTTAGCAGCACACTAAATGCCTAGTTGAAAAATGCCTGACAAAAACTGCAAAAACTTGAATGTAGCCCCTGCCAGATGGAGTTGGATCATACTCTGCAAGAGCCATTGCAGCCACTTGGGCAGAAAAAGTAGGGGCAACTGCTTGGACCAGTTTCAGTACTTCCATCAAGCATTACAGATTAGACCTGATCTTCAGCCAGTACAAAAGATATGGGAGAAAAGTCTTGCAATCAGTAGTAGTACCATGCTAATAGGTTTGATTTCTTACTTTTTTTCCTCATGTGTCCTAGAAGATGTTTAAGGATTAGTTACCTGGTAACCTAATTTCCAAGAATCCTCCAGGATAGCAGGCTGTTAAGATCCTAAGTATATATTTTTTAGAGAAGCATGTCTTGGTTGCATGTTGTTGGTGCTGAATGTAATCTGGTTCTTTTATATTAACTTTTGGGTTATTATGTCATATTTTTGTCATTCTACTTTTTCTGTTGTCCCCTTGAAAATGGCCCAGATTAATTTTAAAGTAAACCGCTGGGTTATTTCGTTGACAATAACATTACCGTATCTTAAAGTGAAACTAGTTTACTTTTGAAAAAAATTGCCTACCCATTTTAAAAAATAAAACAGAGCTCTTACTGCAGTATTTATCTTGTCTCCTGTGCTGTCCCCCACAGTAACATGATCAATCTGCCTATTCTGGGTAAATAATGGTCTATGACATTCATCCCTATTCCTGTAAACCAGGGGTATTGAATTAAAATTTAAGGAGCTCCGGTCACCAAAATTTTCTTCTGGTCGAGGTCCGAATAGGGTGTGCCCCCTTACATAAGGTGTCACTATCCGAATGCAACTTTACATCATGTATTCCCATCACATTAGGTGTGCCCATCAGAGTTCTCCTTTACATCAGCTTTCCCCATCAGAGTGTGTATCCCCCCTTTCCACCTTTATAGGTTTCCTGTCCATCATTAGAGTGTGCCCCTTTCCATTATATTTCCCCATCAGAGTGCCCCCCATTATATTTCCATCAGAGTGCCCCCATTATATCAAGAGTGCCCTTTCCATTATATTTCCCCATCAGAGTCCATCACATGTGCCCCCCTTTCCATCACATGGGCCCGTCAGAGCACCCCTTTCCATAAAGTCGGAGCGCCCCTTTCCATAAAGCGGGCCCGTCAGAGCGCCCCTTTCCATAAAGCGGGCCCGTCGGAGCACCCCTTTCCATAAAGCGGGCCCGTCGGAGCGCCCCTTTCCATAAAGCGGGCCCGTCGGAGCGTCCCTTTCCATAAAATAAGGGGCACGCTGATGGGTACATTTTGAATTAAGGGGCACTCTGGTGGGCACATTTATATTAAGGGGCACTGTGATGGGCACATTCTATGTTGTGCCCATCAGAGTGCCCCTCTAAGACTATACCCTACCTTGAGGACAGACAGTGGCTGTACCGGGATCCTTGATGGATGCTTGTGTACAGGCAGGGAGCGGGAGGCGGAGAGACAGTGAGCTGAAAGGGGTGGGGCACACATGTGATGTCATGTTGCCATGACGACCGCCCTGCTCAGCGGCGGATCTGGCAGTCCAGGTGGCAGCGCTACTGGAAGCATTCGTGGACCACGGTCCATGATTTAGTGACTGCTGCTATAAACCCAGGCTGTCATGGATACCTCCCCCAGGCAGGTGCGTCACCCCTTTTTGACTGGGGTTATAGTATATTACTGTGGAAGCTGTGCTTTTTCAGCTTACAGCTTAAAAGAGCGGCAGAAGAGGATTGAGAGGGGGGGGGGGGGTAGCACCTTCTAAAAAAACAAAACACATGGAATTCAACTTTAAGTGGCCACAGGCAACAATCTTCTTTCTTATATACTGCATATACATGTAATATGTTTTTATTCCTTTCAGACCGGAAATATTTCTTTGTATTAAAGCGGAACTTCACCCATAATGACTTGATAAAAAATAATGTTCTTTAGCCGGGAACGTATATTCCCCATTAATGATTGATAGCAAGATAAGTGTGCGCTGTAAATTGCCTCCATCATTGTTCCTGTTCCATCTTGCAGGAGGCTGCCCTTTTGCTAAAGCCCAGAGCCCCTGAGCACTAGTAAATCTTAAGGCTGTTCGCAGATCATCCTCTACATTTTTGGCACTGTATCAAAGAGAGCAACTGAGCATGTGCAGAGCAGGAGTGAGACAGTGTATTATTGAATTTTAAACAGTATAGGCACTTATATTTTTAATGTTTTTACTAAGCTATACCTGCAAAAGGGGCCATGCTAAAGTAATCTAGCAGGACTTAAATTTCTAACTAAAGTTTCACTTTAATGTTAACATGCATAAGACATGATCATGTGTGGGTTTTAGTTTTATTTTATTTGATTAATTGACTGATTTATTTATTTGCAGTGTCTATTTGCACATTCCCTTCGGAAGTTCTCCATGAGAGACTGGGGTATAGAACAGAAGTGGATGTCGGTCCTTTTGCCACTGCTTTTACTTTATAATGGTATGATTATTTTTCCTTTTTTTCAATAGGTTCATTTTGCTATATTCCCAGGTGACTTATACAGGTCTTTTTAGTATTTTATTTGTACACATTTAATCATCATATATAATCGAATGGGTAAGTCCACCTAGAACTGATATTTTAGTCTGGGTGGATGTCAGCAAGTTGAATCGTTTTTGGGCTTTATATTAGTTGTCAGGTTCTCCATCTGTGAGATGAATCCCCAGTTCCATCAATGTGCTATGCCCAATATGAGATATTGGGATATTTTTGGAGGTAATTATTGTGCTGTTACATGGATTATATAGATTTTAAATGCTGTGTGAATTATATGAAAATGTGTTTTGGTGCTTGTGATCTTTATTTGAACCTTAAGTAGAGAATCTATTAGCCTGCTGTTTTCAGTCATCTCATTGCTGATTGTTCTCTGACAGACCAGCTAGAATTTCATGTAGATTGTTACACTGAACAGTGGTTCATTCTGGTCACACAATGTTTCACCTGTTTCTTGCAGATCCATTCTTCCCTCTCACATTCCTGGTTAATAGCTGGTTTCCTGGCATGCTGGATGACCTATTTCAGTCACTCTTCCTGTGTGCACTTCTGCTCTTTTGGCTTTGTGTTTATCACGGCATTCGGGTGCAGGTATACCAAATATTCTCTTAGGGCATGTCTTTTATTTATTAAATTGTGTACATTTTTCTGAATATACAAATACGTTGTTATAACAAAAATTTTCTCGGACATTAAGGGACACAATTATTCTGACATGATTGGATTATACCGCCTTCAGTAGAAATTGGACACTGGCAAACAAAAAAAAAATAAAGCCATCTTCCAGTCAGGTATAACCTTCTCATTCCCGTCCTACTTCAGTTTTTTTCTTGAAGTCTTAGCAGGATGGACATCTTTTCTCTATTGAGAAAAGATTAAGCTATTTCTCCAGCCAATTTCTCTCTTTTTTAATAATTATTTTCTTCAATCAAGACTTCATCCACATGCTGCTGAGCTCTTTTTATGCAGTTATCCGGATCATCGCATCTTCAGCAATAGCTATAAATGATTTCAATGGACCTGCCTTGAATGCGACCTTTGAGTATGTGGGCTTTGCTTGTGATGCTCTCTTAATCCCTATGTACTGTTAGCCACAGAGCACTTCCAATGGTGTGAACTGGTCTCTGAAGTGCTATATGTACTTGGTCCCCTGGGGTGTTAACAGGCTGTGAATGCAGGTGACCTTTAGAAATGTTAACCCGCTTCGGCAGCGCTCCCATCTGGTTGTTTATGTACATGGGCTGGATGGGAAGTGGTTAAATCACAATGATAACAGGAGTCACCCAAATAGCCCTGCTTAAAAGTTAACATACCCTGGAATGTTTGGCTTGGTACAAGTGTACAAGGTGATACACAGGTTATAATGGCAATTAAAATTTAATTTTCCCACTTCTGTGACTTTTTAAATTGCAGTTGGTGTCTGTGTATAAATAGTTGGCAAGTTTGTGAGCTGTCATGTGGATGCACTGTGCAGGCTAGATACTGAGCCATGGGAAGCAGAAAAGAACTGTAAAAAAACCTGCGTAAAAAGGTGTTGGAACTTTATAAAGATGGAAAATTATATAAAAAGATATCCAAAGCCTTGAATATAAATGCCAAAATTTCACAATTTCTGCCAGGGAATGCAAACTTTTGAGCACAGCTGTATTATGTTGGCATGCTGAAGTTTTCTTACTGTTGCCCACTCCTCTGCTTTTCGCCGTCTCCGTTGTCTTAAAATACCTGAATCCTGTGTCTCAAATGAACAAGAAAAGAAAATTTTTTTACTTCCCGTTAAATCCGTTTCTTGGTGTTTATTAGGTGACACAGGCTGAACCCCTCTGTGTTTATGATCAATTCCTAGTACTGCTTTTCTACAAAACTGAGACCTGATGAGCGTGGAAGGGGTTATACCTGGCTAGCCAACAGCTTTTTCATTTACCAGCATTCAGTTCCTCTCAAAAGCAGCAATTTTTGTTTCAAAATAACTTAAACCTTGGTTCCTGTGTAAGTATAAAATACCGTTTTGTTATGTAGCCCACTTTTGTTTTTCCATTTTAGATAAAAAGAATAAACACAACTGTATAATATTTTATACATATGTCCCCATTCTGCAATAAAACTTTTAACAATTTTTTGTTCTTTCTTCAGTACCGTAGTCAAAATTATCCAGTTATTTAGCTCAAATGATTTGTGTTGATTAAAAGTGTAATATGGTAGCATGGCATTGAGTGTGTTGATTTTATTCGGAAGCTATATGAAAGAAATATGTTCAAAAGAAATTTTTCATTTGACAGCAAACATCTTATGCAGCACAAACTGCAGTCAAGCACTATATAGGAGTTCAACTTGTACTGCGTTAAGCCCCTTTCACTCGGGCAATCCGATCAGGTATGCCTGGCAGTTTTTCAGGTGGACCTGGTCGGAACTGGTCCATGTATCTCTAAGGACTGTCAGGTGTCTACCTGCCTACCTCCAATGCGATTTGGTCTGCTTAAAAAAAAAAAAAAAAAAAAAAAAAAAAACTGAAGGGGATCTGTTCCTCTCCATCAAGATCTGAGGGCAGTAGGGTGTAAACAAACAGCCAGTCCGTTTACACCTGACTGCCAATAGGGCAGAGCAGGGCTGTGTCCGCTCTGCATAAACTGAGTGGACACAGACCTGTCATCTGCCCGCTCTGCTCAGCAGGGATCAGTGGACACATTCCCTGCTGAGCAAAGCGGATCTGTCCAGTTTGAAAGGGGCCTAATAGATATTTACTTGTAGTTGAGCCCGGACATCAGTATGTTGCATCCTTTTTCCTGTATTGTTTGTCTCCAATCTCTTTTCCTGTTCCTTAGGGGGAGAGAAAGTGCATGACTTTCTATCTGCCAAAACTGTTAATAGTTGGACTTCTGTGGCTTGCTTCTGTGACTCTGGGCATATGGCAAACGTAAGTAATGCTTTGTAAGTGATTTTGGCTTAGTGGCTCTCATGTGTAACTGAGTTTTCATGCAAAGAGAACTATGTACTTGCATTAGACCAGTGCCTGGACAAATTCCAGGTGCTCTAAATGTGTTTTGTTTTATTAGTTTTTTGAATTTCTATATTAACACTCCTCCCTGTGACTGGGTCTCATATGACGTCCTGTCAAAAGGAGCCACGTAGGGGCACGTTCTGTCACCAGCTGTTTCCTCGGGACACAGCCGATGACATATCACTACACCGGCCCATTGCCAGTGTCATGTGACTGCTGTGACCAATCACAGCACGTCACATGTCAATTGTATACAATGGATGGCTTCTATTGTATACAGTTGTGGTGTTAGCTGTGATTGGTCAAAGCAGTGTCCCTAATCACCGCCAAACCAGTTATATAATAACGCTGTACTGGACTGGTGACTGTTTTTTTTTTTTTTTTTTTTCATTTTCCCAAAAAATGTAACAAAAAATGACAACCTCCAAAAAACTCCCCATGCCTCTTAAATACATTGGACTGTCTGTTTCCCCAAAAATAGGTAATATGGGGGGTATTTGTGATGGGCCTGTCAGTACATCAGGTTTGATTGATTGTCAGATATATACCATGGTTTGTGGACTCTACAACTTTCCTGCAGACTAAATATACACTAATTTGGGGTATTTGCACCAAAGAAATGTAGCAGAAAACATTTTGACCTACATTTGTGAAGAAATTTTATTTATTTGCAAAATTTCATAACACAAACGAAGAAAAATGTTTTTTTTTTTTTTTTTTTTTTTTTTTTTTTTTTAAGTTTCAGGGGTTTTTTGTTTAGCAAAAAATAAAAAACTCAGCGATTTAAATACCACCAAAAGAAAGCTCTATTTGTGCGAAAAAAAGATAAAAATTTTTTATGGGTACAGTGTTGCATGACCGCACAATTGTCATTCAAAGTGCGACAACACTGAAAATTGGCCTGGGCAGGAAGGAGGTAAAAGTGCCTGATATTGAAGTGGTTAACCACTTGGCCTCCGGAGGATTTACCCCACCCCCCTTCCTGGCCAGGACATTTTTTTTTTTTTGCGTTGCGGCGCTGTGTTGCTTTAACTGACAATTGCACAGTTGTGCAACGCTGCACCCAAATGAAATTTGCATCCTTATTTTCGCATGAATAGAGCTTTCTTTCGGTGGTATTTGATCACCTGTGTGGTTTTCTAAAAAAACCAACAATTTTGAGAAAAAAAACAATAGTTTTGACTTTTTGCTATTAAACACGTCCAGTAAAAAAATCTAATTTTGTTATAAATTTAGGCCAAAATTTATTCTGCTACATGTCTTTGGTAAAAAAAAAAAAAAAAAATCCCAATACGTGTAAATTAATTGGTTTACGTGAATGTTATAGCGTCTACAAATGGCGGTATATATACTGGGATTTTTTTAAAATTTTTTCTAGTAATGGCAGCAATCAGCGACTTATAGCGGGACTGTGGCGGGCAGTCTGACACTGGGGGGAACTGACTTTGTGTCACTGACATCCCCAGTGACACCAATACAATGATCAGTGCTAATAAAAAGCACTGACACTGTACTAATGGCACTGGGCAGGAAGGGATATGGGGGTGATCAAACGGTTATCTGTGTGCTGTTTTACTGTGGGCCGTGTGTGTGCTTTCAACTTTAAGCACACTGCTTTGCATGGCTCTGCTATGCAGAGCCATGCAAAGCAGAGTGCAGGAGCTGAAATGGGAGAGAACTGTATTGTTTACTTACAGTTCTTTCCCTCTGTCGGTAATGCTATGTAATCACCGGTTTCCAGCGAGTAATCACTGGCCGGGACCCGTTGATTGACAGTTGAGGCCGCGAGTAGGATGTGCGTGCGGCTCATGCGCACCCCCTACCCAGAAATGCGAAATCACGTGTGTGTGTGTATATATATATATGTGATTTTGTGCACCCCTGCCGCCGTGCTATAGGGTGGCGAGAAAGTGGTTAAGTGGCTGTAAAAGTTCATGTTTTGGTTTTTTTTTTTTTTTTTTTGCTATGGGGGCACTGGCTCGTGCTGTGCACACAGTGTTGATCAGCCCTGCCCCCATGTTCCCTCAATGGCTTACTCTGCTGTTTGTGAGCTAATGAGAATGGCGCGAGCTAAAAGAGAGCCTCTGCTCTTGTGCACATCACTAGATCGAGAGTGGGCTCAGGTTGGTATTGGGGGGGGTGGGGCTGGAGGGGGAGCAAAAGTACTGATGGTTTTTTACCAGCATGCAGAGAATGCATGAAGGCAAAAAAACCTTCAATCTTCTGAACTGCTTTAAATGGCTTAGAAAACTGTTGATATCATGGATGTCTTTTTCTTTATTGTGTGAATTGTTCCTCATTTCTTGTGTGGTCACTGGGACAGGAAGTAATGGAAATCTTGCCAACAGAAATAAAAACCTGATGGAAGATCGAATCCTTTCCCAATCAACTAAAACAAAAACTTATATGGCCAGTTTGCTAAGCTGTAGGAGTTATTGTAACTAATATTTTAGGTAGTTTTATTGAAATATTCAGTTCACAAGCATAAATATCAAACAGGGGTAATATTTTTATTCTTAATAGTAAATCCTTATTTACCACTAGAGGCCTTCATTTCCCGAATCATTTTTATCTTATAAAGTGCCTTTTTTTTTCCCGAATAAAGACTGGCTCCATTTTATGCTCTCATGAAACTTCATAGGGTGTTGTAATCATCACCACTCAGCAATTGGGATATTAAAGAATTACAGTAATAGTGATGTGACTTACTTTCAGGCAATAAGAAAAAGCAATAACATAATGTACTGCATATTGCCTGCTTCCCGTTCACCGACTTACTAGTACATTACTGGATTGGAAGGGTGATATCTCGGTCCCCGCTGCAAGGATGGTGTTTCCCTTCAATGTAAAAGTAATCCTAGAAGCTAAGAAGCTGCTGGATTACTTTTACAGGCGGTAGGAGGTGGTCCTACCCCCCTCCCTCCGCCACCTTTACTGGGCTCTTCCATGTGATTGGGGAGCCTGGTTAAGATGCAGTAGGTGGCATCTGGTTCCAGGGACACAGTGAGAGGAACTGATGTTGTTCCTCCCACTGTGTGATGTCAGAAATGGGAAGCAATGAGAATTTAGCCACTTCGGTTTTTGGTCCCATGTAAACAAGCCATTACCAGCTTGAACAAGCATCTGATCAAACCCATCCTTATTTGATCAGATACTATGTAGGCCAGAGGAGAGATCTGGGGTCTAATGGACCCCGGATCTCTCCATAAGGAGAACCTGTAATGGCCCATGCTATCACAAGGGATATTGTTCAAAAGAGTCGAAAAATCTAAAAATGCAGTGTAAAAAAAAAAAATATATATATATATATATATATATATATATATATATATTATCAATATATATCATTAAAAAATGTAAAAAAGTTTTTTAAAGCGCCCCCTTTCTCCATGCTCACGCACAAATGCGAGCATGCATGTACGTCCTGGACACATATGTAAACGGCAATCACAGCACACATATCAGGTACTGCTGTAAATGTCAGAGTGAACAAAGTTTAGCACCAGACCTCCTATGTAACTCTAATCTGATAACCTGTAAATACCTTTAAAGCTTTACTTTTGGAAACTTTTAGGTACCATAGTTTGGCGCCGTTCCACACGCGGACACAATTTTAAAGTGTTGACATGTTTGGTATCTATCTACTCGACGTAGCATCATTGTTTATATTTTACCAACAATTGGGTATTATATTGTGTTTTTATGTATTAAAGTGTATTTTTTTTCCAAAAAAAGTTGCTTTTTAAAAACCGCTCCGCAAATATTGTGCAACATAAAAATATGCAACACTCACCATTTTATTCCCTACTTCTAAAGTAGTTTTTGCTTTTTTTTTTTAGCAACAAAAGATGTGTTGTTTTTTTTTTTTTTTCTTCAAGTAGGAGAGGAATGTCAGAATTGGCCCAGACTGGAAGTGGTTACTTGCAATAAACCATGATGGTGTGATTGGGCCTATAGTGAGTGTTTACTTCCAAAAATTGAAGAATAATGCACAGTAATACAAACCTTGCTTAAGCTACAGTAAAAATACCCTTGGATGCATCAATATTGGAAAGGTTTCCCTTCACTTAATGTGGTCATTGGGAAGTGAAGAATATTTCCCTAACTAGGACACAGATGGCAATCAAAACTTCTGACCTATTTCCACTTTATAGAGAAGTATGGCCAAAGCTCTTTTGGCCATACTTCTCATGTTGTTCACAGGAGTGCACTAAGGAGAGCTAAAGCTGTTGGCTGACATCACAGAGCCAGCTGTTGGCTGACATCACAGAGCCAAACTCCTAAATGATCCTGGCCATATTGTCAGGATCCACCCAGATGCCTGACCAGCAGCTAAGTCAGCCTTTCAGTACGCTACTGAGAACCTGAAACAGCCGCTTCCGACCCTCCACAGCCTGGCGCTCCACTGGAGGGATAGAGCAGAGAGCCAGTGACTGAAAGTCATCTCGCTCTGCTCAGTGAAAACCAAGAACTGAGCGATCATGTGATCATTCAGTTCTCAGTCTTAGAGCCAACGAGGGACAGCTGCAGCATAGGACTAATGCTGCAGCTACAGTTGTGTTCAAAATAATAGCAGTCAGACATCACTAACCTGATCAATCACTGTTTTTGGCAGAAATGATATTTCTACATGGCAAATAATTTACTAGCAGGTGTAGTAGAGTAATAGAAATCCAACAGACCCAACAGTCATGACATGCATGCTGCTGATTCTGTGTAATTGAAATACTAATTGAAAGGGGCATGTTCAAAATAATAGCAGTGTGGAGTTCTATTAGTGAGGTCATTCATTCTGTGAAAAACAGGTGGCAATTATTGCCCTTATTTAAGGAAGGAAGGAAGGCAGTAAATGTTGTACATGCTGGTTACAGTGCATTTCTCTCTGAAATTCTGAGGAAAATGGGTTGTTCCAGACATTGTTCAGAAGAACAGCGTACCTTGATTAAAAAGTTGATTGGAGAGGGGAAAATATATGAAGAAGTGCAGAAAATGATAGGTTGCTCAGCTAAAATGATCGCAAATGCTTTAAAATGGCAACCAAAACCTGAAAGACATGGAAGAAAGCAAAAAACTACCATTCGAATGGATAGAAGAATAGCCAAAATGGCAAGGACTCCGCAAACAATTAGCTCCAGGAAGATCAAAGAAGGTCTAAAGTTACCTGTGAGTACTGTTACAATTAGAAGACGCCTATGTGAAGCCAAGCTATCTGCAAGAAGCCCCCGCAAAGTCCCACTGTTGAAAAAAAGACGTGCTGAAGAGGTTACAATTTGCCAAAGAGCACATTGACTGGCCTAAAGAGAAATGGCGCAACATTTTGTGGACTGATGAAAGTAAGATTGTTCTTTTTGGGTCTAGTGGCCAGAGACAGTTTGTCAGACGACCCCCAAACACTGAATTCAAGCCACAGTACACTGTGAAGACAGTGAAGCATGGTTACGCAAGCATCATGATATGTAGATGTTTCTCATACTATGGTGTTAGGCCTATTTATCACATACCAGGGATCATGGATCAGTTTGAATACATCAGAATACTTGAAGAGGTCATGCTGCCTTATGCTGAAGAGGAAATGCCCTTGAAATGGGTGTTCCAACAAGACAACGACCCCAAACACACCAATAAACGTGCAACATCTTGGTTCCAGGCCAACAAGATTGACGTTATGGAGTGGCCAGCCCAATCCCCGGATCTTAATCCAATAGAAAACTTGTGTGTCTTACATTTATAACCATAAAGAGCAGCATGTTAACACAGGGATTTAATTGCTATTATAAATCAGTTAGGATTTTATTAATTGTCAAAGAAAATTACAGCACATCTTATAATGTTTTTATGCCTTTCTCTGGATTAAATATGGTTTTGAAATTTTTGTTTTTGAGGTTCACACATGCATACAGTCTTTTCAAATACTTTAAAACCTTTTTATGTATAATTTAAAAACATAATTGAATGTATTTTATTTTGAACAGTGTTAACGAATTACGTGATCCAACTTACCAGTACAGAGTAGATGCTGGCAATTTCCAAGTAAGTGCTGAAAGTATGTGTAAATGTATGAATATCTGTGAGGTATGGTGGGTATATTTATTTACTAATGTTTAGGTGTGACTTTTTGGTTGTGTAGATTTTTGGGCATAATTTAATTTTGGTGCACAAATCTGTCCTATACCAGTGGTAATAATATTTGACCTGATCACAGTACCAACCCTAGCATTACTGAATTAACAAAACAATGTACAGTACATACCAGGGGCAGACTGACAACTCATGGTGCCCCCGGGCAATAGGGGATCATGGGGCCCCTGTGTCCTTGCCCAAACTCAAAAAAGCCTATGAAAAAGGTACCAGGGGCATCCATTGGGGTCCCCTACTGACCCTGGACCTTTGGGCAGTGCCCGAGTTTCCAAATGGTCAGTCCGCCCCTGGTACATACTATATCCAGTGGTCTGAAACTTCTGCATGAAGAGTCTTAACACCACAAAAATTAGTAGATGTAAAGCCTAACAAAATGATTGAATGATAAGGCATTGTGTATAATTAACAAACATATATATAAGGTGCAGCGCATGAAGCATATAAAGTGAAAGTAATAAAATATCAAAGTAAAATAAACATTTATATATCAGTGTGACCCATATGCAATTAAACAAAAAGTCCTTCCAAAATAGGAAGCTGACAGTGTGGGAGAGTCAGCGGGGAGCCGGAGAGGATCTCTTTCATGGCCTCGCTAGCCTAGAATGAGGGGTATCCTAACCAGCAAGTGAGGGGAAACCACTAGAAGAGAGCGTGAACACACACTAAGGAGCTGTGGAGCTACACTACTGATAGTGGTTTGAACATTTCCCCTTAGGACTTAATTGGACCAGCAAAGGTCAGAGCGTGGACAACATTGATCTTTTGTCATATTTGCTATATAAACAAGCAACCCTCTGGTGAGTGCATAGTGGTGGTGGATTGCACAATGGACTCCAGAGCACTGTGTGGAAACTAACACGATTTGCTGTGATTATTTGTATCGCATCACTGATACACAGATTGTTTGTTTTTTTTTGGGAAGGACTTTTTGTTTAATTTCATATGGGTTGCACTGAGGTGTGTGTGTGTTTTACTTTTGATATGTTATTACTTTCACTTTATATGCTTCATGTGCTGCACCTTATATATGTGTTTTTGTTTAGTGAGTTTTTTTTGTCACTATCTCTGGTGCTATCTGCTCCCACTTGTTATGCGCTTGCCTTTTGCATTTTGAGACTATGTATAATTAACATTTGGCTTACTTCAAATATTACTAAAATGCTTGTTTTTACCTTCTTTTGTCCTCTGTTGTATTGCATAACTGCTGAACCCACTGATGTTTACATGTATACACTCCAGCCATGGCTATCAGCCACTTCTCAGTCTTTCTCTCTCAAGCTGGCCAAACGTTATACAATTTTCTTCAATTTCCTTTAGATTTACCTTCAACTATGTAGTGCAAGGGCCTGGCTGATTGCATACAAATTGAAAGTGTTTAGGTTTGACCTCATATTGTATGGTTTTGGTAAATCTAAAGGAAAATTGTATAATGTATGGCCGGTCTCTTCTCATCTTGCCTGATGGTGACAACAGGGGAGCATGCCTGTGTATTGTATGTTGAAATGGCCATTTATGTAATTTCCATAGAAAACCTATTTATCATGGTGACAAAGGAGAAGTACAACTTGGAGACAAGAACAGAGTGTTTTCAGTGCCTGAACATGATCCTTCATGGGAGTAATATTTTAATGCACCTGTGGTTTTCAGAAATAATGAAAATTACTTTTGAAATTAATACAACATGTTAAAGAAACCGATTGAAAATGTATAAAATGCAATGTGTTCTCTGTATGATGCCTGTGCAGGACCCAGAAGCTAGCAGTGATCACTGTTGGTAGCGGTGCCCTACTACAGTGAGTTCCAGCTTCAACAGGGATTGGCAAGGTATAGCATATGTTGATCCAAACGGGACCAATGTAAGTGCAAGAAAAGCCATACCTAAACTTTTAGCTTTAAAAATCTCACTTAACATAATTAAACAGGGAATAATGTCACCATAAAAAAGTAACAGAGTATATTTCAGTTAAAAGAATGCCTTTTTTTTTTTCCCACAAATCAAATTAAAAATGCTGCTCGATGGTGCATAGTGTCAATACTAACTTAGACAAAAATGACATGGTCTCTGGTTACCAGATGCATTGTGAATATTTGGATCTATTACAAACTGCAGATTTATAAGTGAAGCACTATAGAAAATATCAACATACAGTAAATCTAACCACCAAAAAAAAACACAAAAGTATAAAGATCAGTTTATTACTTGAAACATTAATTATCATAAATTGTGCACACTCCAGCATAAACAATATTCAAATATTGTGTGCACAGATCATAAAGTTCACGCTATTATTTTCAGTACATTTTGCTAAAATGCTGTAACCCATCTTCCACCTTCCAGCACAGTGGTGGGGTGATATTGGTAAGAGCACTGCACGTTTTATGCATTTTCATGCTGTATATTTGGTTTTGATATTGTTATTCGGTGCTAGCAGCTTACTTAGAGTTTAAGTGAGGTATTAGGTTTACGGCATGGAGGTTTGTTACTCGACTGCAGATAGACTTTACTTTCATTAAGAGAAACCTCATCAGTTAGAAAAGAGGATCAACAGATAGCAAATAACCAAAAGCAAATGTATATGCCCCTTGTGTATCACCCAGTCAGGTCTCTAATCCTATCAGAATTGCACTTCTTTGCAAGAGAGTAGGTTTTCTCCTCTCTGGTGGCCCGTGTTTCCTCTGTTCCAGTGTTGCAATCACAGTCAGTCTCTTCAGCGAGTCCGACTTCTGGGAATGTTGGATACCCTTACCCTATGCTTTACTTCTAGTTTCGGTATTTGCTTACCTGTCCAATATCTCAGCTGCCTGTAATTTTTATGGAAGGTCTAATAGGCCCCAGATCCCTCCATAAAAAGTACCTGCCACTTCCCAAACTATACCAAGGGAAGTTGTTTATCACTTGCGAAGTTGAATAAAAAAAAGTGCAAAAAAAAAAAAAAAGTACATTTAAAATTTTTTAAAAATTTAAAAAAGTAAAGATTCCCCATGCACATAGGTCCTGCACACATATGTAAATAGTGATTGCTCCTCACATGTGAGGTATTTTCACAAATGTTAGAGCAATTAACTCTAAACTGGTAACCTGTAAATGCTTTTAAGCATTGCCTATAGAGTTTTTCATGTCCCGTAGTTTGTTGCCATTTCACAGGCATGCAAAATTTTAAGTCTTAACATGTTTGATATCTGTCTTTATATTTTACCAAATCTGGATATTATATTTTTATTGTATGCACTAAAATGCACTTAAGTGTTTTTTTTTTGTTTTTTTGTTCCTTAAAACGTATGTTTGATAAACATAAAAAATTTCAATAATCACCATTTTACTCTCTAGGGCATCTGCTTTCAGAAAAGTATGTAATGTTGGGGGGTTCTAGGTAATTTTCTTGGAAAAAAAAGCAGTTTTAACATGTATGTGAGAAATGTCATAATTGGTGTACATGGCAGTTTAGAAGGAATATATATTTTAATTAACTTGCACAGCAGCCAGAACAAAGCTTATTTTGGCAGTCAGATGGTTTATAAACCAGAAATCTTGCAGAGATAGTAAGACCTCCCTCATCATTACCATGGCAGGTGTACTGACCTGGAAACACAAGCACATATATCTAGTTGCTGCTTTTCTGAGAGCTAGGAGGAGCCAGAGGGCAATTTAGCTCACTGGCATCTGCCATAAAATGAAATCATTTTGGGTGAATTGATCCTTCAGTGCATATTTGAAGCCTTAAAAAAAAAAAATCCTCCAACAGAAAATAACTACATCGTTTGTATAAATTTATAAACAAATTTACAGAACCGATACAAGGGAAATATTCTAGGTGAAAATTGATAGCATTAATGTATATGCAAACCCAGTCATTAAAATCTTGTAAACGTTTTAACATGTTGATGTGATAACAAAAGTTGTTTTCAATATTTTAAAATTTGCAGCATTCACTAAAATAATACCTGGCAGTCTTAACATAAAGGTCCTTGTTCACGCATTTCCTGTTATAGGGAGACATCCCTAAGTCCCTGTCTCTCAACTGTGTGTCACCCTGCCTTCGATGGAGACAGCAAGTGGCCTTTTCAATGCAGATTACAAAAGCAGATTTTCCCATGGTGACAAAAGTGGACTTTGAGAATTCCATGCATTTAATGCTGAAGCACATGTAGGCAGAGGAAAAGTTTTTTACAGACCAGACAGCACACTACAAGTCCTAGCTTTCACAGGTATATATAAATAAGATTCACGTTCAGTGATGGTCACAAAGGACCATGCAACACAGGATCCTGCGGGTTTGAACGGTAGATCCGGGTAGATCAGCAGAGCTCAAAAGATAAAAGAACAGAAGCATGGGATCCCCATTAGCATATAGATTCCATTTATTTCAAATAAAAACATAGCACACTTACTTATACGATTCTTGACATCAGCATAGGAATAACTTCCTGGACACTGTCAGCCAGTAGTCTGCAGCAGAAGTTGGTATCTCTCATGTTGGCATGTGGATTGTCTGACCGACAGCTGTCAGCAGGCCGCCGGAGTTCAGTGTCCTGCAGTGCTATGCACTGCCTCGTGGCGATCCCATGGTGATACTGAGATGTGTGGGCAGTGAGTTATCACCTCCTACCCACCGCCCACACATTTCAATATCACCTAGGGATCGCCACGAGGCAGTGCATGGCACTGCAAGACACTGAACTCCGGCAGCCTGCTGACAGCTGTCGGTCAGACAATCCACATGCCGGCATGAGATACACCAACGTATGTCCAGGGGTTTTTCCTATGCTGATGTCAAGAATCGTATATGTAAGTGTGCTATGTTTTTATTTGAAATAAATGGAATCTATATGCTAATGGAGATCCCACGCTACTGTTCTTTTTATCTTTTGTAGGCAGAGGAAGGCTACTGGAG